ATGAGGTGGTGGCTTCCATCCAGGTTCTGGACAGCTGTCTTCCTCACAAAAATCATTGCCGCAATTGGTATTAATAGGCTTTCTTGCTGGCAGCCTCTGCAGGCAATTCAGTGAATCTCTTTTCTCCCTTCCTTCCCCCACCCCCAATCTTCCTTCTCTTCATTTCTGCTTTCCTCCTCCTGTTTTCTTTTTTTCTTTCCTTCTCTGTCTTACCAGTAGGTGGCCTGAGGAAAGAAAGAGCAGCAGCAGCTCCTGTGGGAAGAATGTGTCAACACCTCAGATTGTGTTCTCTGCCAGGGCTTGCAAAGGGACCTCAGACCAAGGCTGTTGGGATAGAAAGCTCATACCCCCCACAGTGTCTGCCTTCACTGCCCCAGGCCTAAGTTGTTTTGCTCAGGGTGTGTCAGAGTTTACTGTGGGGTTGTCTGTTTTATCTATTGAGCTTCTCCTTTCATCACATGGCAGGGTACATGGCTGTGTTTGAAGAATGGATGGGCCCAAGGGGAATTTCAAGTGATTCAGTAGTTGTGGTATAAGCCCTACATTATAACTCCCTCTCAGACACAACCAGGAGTCACAAGGAATAGAAAGTTGTACTGTTTTAGATTCCCTTCTCTGATAAGAGCTACATATTTTGGGGGGATTATGTAGTATGGTCATCTTCCCAAACCCCAATCCAGCACATCTATATCCTAACCAGATGTTTTCTTTAGACATAAAATCTGTTTGACAAGTTTTTAATACAGTAAAAATGAAATTCCCTTTTTAATTATATTGAACAAATCACTTGAATTAGAAGGAATAAAATTCCACAAAACAAAGACTCTTGAAAATCTGTGGCATGGATTATCAACTTCAATGTTTTTTTACTGTAGTTCTATTACATTTGTCCCAATTTTCCCCTGTTGCCCTCCCCTCAACTTCAAAATTTTTTTAAAATGCTCTTTGGCTCCTTCAGACAGCAATAAGGAAATAGTAGTGGTAGCTTCCATCCTTGAAATGTCCAAGACTACTTTTGGATTATCTGACTTCATTTTCTCAGTCTCAATTTAAGAGTCAAAAAGTAGACTAAAGACTTATCATGCATAAACATATTATTTTTCCAACCAGAAGGAGGCAATGGTAGGACATGATGCTCTTATACAATGGAAGGGGGTGGAGGGCGGTGGGCAGAAATCAACCATTTTGCAATGGTTTAGCATTTATTTAGAGGCCCAAAGCATTTTACCCTAAGCTGCCTCTCTTTGGAATTTAGAACCTGTGTACCACTTTGTTGGGAAATTCAGGCAACACACCACTAGCTGGTTTGCATTGAACTCATTGAAATGCTGATCACTAAGAACACTTGACAAGACCAACAAGGTATCCAAGACTTTCAAATGATCAAATGAAATCTAAATGAGGAGCTTGAATTGGAGCAATATTAAACAGATGTGAAATTCCAGATATCCTTTGCAATTTAGAAGGTAAAATTACTTAGCACAACCACTTTGGCAAAGGGTTTTGAGTCTCAGAGTAATGACCAGGACCCACAAAACGTCATATAGGGAAAAAGTGAGGTTTAGCGTTGGAAAAAATATCCTAACACCAGCTCTAACTCTACAGTGTTAATGATCCACTTTCTCTCATTTATATAATGGGACAACTCATTCCCTGTCACCTTGTGAGTTATTTTTGTTGCTTAATGAGTATGAAGTTACTTGAAGATTAAAGTGCTAAATATTATTATTATTATTTAAAACAAGCAACTGTAAATTAAATGTAAAAAGAGAAATAGCTTTGGAGAAATATAATTTCTAGAATGGACAGATTGTCTAACAGGTAATAGAATGAAACAGTTTTGTGATTCACTTACTTATTCATTTAGAAAAAAAATGATAGAAAAAAATCTGAGAAATGACACAACCAGGTTGGCTATGTGACTATTTGTTCTTCTATTTAAAAAAAAAAAAAATCTTCAAAACACTTCTGACTTCAAAACAATGTAAAAAAGAAGTAAAAAAGAGAAAAAATGCCATTCTGATTTATAACTGTTTGTAGTGTGGATGTGCCTTGAACTTTGCATTTAAAAAGAAAGTATTTTTCAGATTTCCTACCAATCCCTGTCCTTAGCTTACCATTTCCAAAAATACCTCTCTCCTTGAAAACGAATAATAAGTGAGGAAGAAATTGGTTTATAGATGCCGAACTCTCTCCACCTCAAGGCAGCACTGGTTTAATTCAAACGGCAAAATGGATGTGTGAGAAGGGGTGAGATTTTAATGCTTGGGCAGTAAGTGGAAGCATCATTTCCTGAGTCCACACCTCCTTCTGTCATTGTTGGCTGGGACTTTGTCTAGCACTGTAGCTTTCCCATCCAAGCTGGTTAAAATACCACGTTGTCACCTCCCTCTCTTCATCCTTTGTTTTCTTCCATAAGGACATCAGAAGATCAGAGGGTGAATGGAGTAAATATTTATTATATATATGAACAATATTCTTTTACTAACATTGTATGCCCATCATAGGAAAAATATTTTTGTGTGAGGTTTATATTAATTTTTCTAAGCTCAGGAAGTCTTCTCTAGACATTTACTCCATGGTCTACAAAGCCAAAACTCATCATGGACTAAACTGATGATAACAACGAAAGAATCTAGTTTTTCAGACAATGGGGGGTGGTGAGAGCTGTGTCATTAGAGGGGCCATGCCCAACTACATGAGGGTATTTACAGTTCTGGGGCACCCCAGTCATTATCATATTGTATGCGAATAGTGCCCCCTAGTGTAGAGCAATGCATGCCCTGCCCATTGGTCCATTCACTCCATCCTCCTCGAACTTGCTCTGTGCCAGGCATGGTTTTAACTGCTGGGAGAGCAATGGACAAAGCAGACAAGAATACCTGGTCTTGCAGAACCCAAAGGCATTCTCATTCAATTATTTTTCAAAAAGCAAAAAGCATTGTGCCATCCAAATAAAATGCATCTGCATGCAGAATTTGGCCCATGGGCCCACCAATTAATGACCCTGCTCTAGTCTTTTAAATCATTTCTGTGATCTTGCAGGTTTTAGCCACAGAGACAAAACACAGAAATGTCCTGACCAAAGGTCAGCACCGACAGCTCAGCGCATGCTTAATGACAGCTCTGCATACATAGCCAAGTCAGCTAATTAATTTTCAATTACAATTCTATATCCCCACCACCCCAGTGTCTATAGCTGTCACCCCTTCTTCCAAGAAAACGTAATTCCTAGAAGTGGTCTGTTAGGTAAATGAGGAAGGAAAACTAGAAGGAGATGGGGGTCCTGGCATTCTGCCAAAGCATTGTCTGCTCTAAATACCTGCCGGTCCTGGAGACTGATGGGGGAGCTGGGCCGCTGAGCAGTGGTCAGTGTGGCTTCTGAACCAATTCAAAATCTGCTCCGAACTGCCTACACATTTAATCAAAATTTTTTCCAAGCATAAAGGAAGATTCTCTAAGTGTCAAGTCTCTTAGGAGTTGTGCTCACAGAAGCAGGGGAAGTGCAGAATGCAAAGAGCTCTCTTATAAAGAATTTATTTCTCAGCCTTGTGGCATCTTAATGTCATTTGATGGAAAGTTTTAATTTAATCTGCATATAGGCAAAGTGGAACTAAATGGGGATGTGTTTACTTCACTTGCTTTCATGTCTGGAAGATTTTCTTTCTTTCTTTTTTCCTTTCTTTTTCTCCCCCCTCCCCCATTGGAAACTTAGGTAAAACTGAAAAGAATACTTATATTAATTTTCAGCAAGAAGCTTTAGAGAAAAGCTGCAATGGTACTCAAAGAGTTGAAAAGTTTTCCACCTTACAACGCATTTTGAATTTTGTTAAATAAAATCCTGATTCAAAAATATTTAAGGAGCCCAAGTCAGAAATCTGATGAGAGACAATCATAATATATAAATATAAAAATCAAATTTAAGCTTTCACATCTTCCAAGAAATAGAGCAAAGATGACCTATTCTTCCTTTACCTGTGTCTCAGGATCCCTTGTTTCTAACTCCTCTCATAAATGAAGAACAACAACAATAATAATAATAATCAGAAGAGAGAGTGTTAACTTATCAAATCTACATGTTAGAGTAAATTATTTTTCCCAAAGTTTGAAAGCATTTTCTGAAAACCGTCAGAGGTATTAATTTTTTTCCCCTCTCTCTCTCTCTTTAAATCACAAAGCAAAATTCCACTGTCCCTCCCCGCCCCCCCCCCAACACTTCTTAAAAAAAAAAGTTGTCGAGTTTTGCTTTTCTATTCACTGCAGTCCTGGCCAAAGTAAAGCCCTCTTTCTCAATGACGTCAAGATCTTTACCAAGATTAGGCTTTCATTTCTCTATTGCAGCAATTAGCCAGGGAATGTATAAAAGGCTTCAGGGAGACTCACTGGGCTGCAGAGAGAGCACTTTGCACCACAGATAGCACCGAAGCAAAGCCAGAGGGAGAGAGAAGAGGAGAGGAGTCAGTCGCTCCAGGGGAAGGGAGTGAGACAGGCTGGGGAGAAGGAGAACAGAAAGTGTGTGTAAAACGGAGTAAAGGAGGGGGAAAAAAAAACTACCCTTAAAGCACATTTTAAAAACTCTGGCAATTCAAGAAACAGGCTACGTATCTGAACATAGAGACAATGAAAAGCTAAAGAAAATTTTGCAGTCTCTGCCACAGTCTCATAGGTGCTTGGAAATGAAAGTGGAACTGCCTGTCTTTAACCGACTCTGAGAGGGGTTACTGGATTAGGGACGGGTACGCCAGTTTTTTTTTTTTTTTTTTTAACATCTTAAATCTTGGGAAAAAAAAAAAAAGCAGCAGCTCCGAATTGAATGAATTGATGGGCACACTCCAACTGCTGGGCTGGACAGACTGGACTTGGTCTTGCCATTTCTGCTTCTTTGAAAGAGGAGAGAGCCTGGGCTTCCTTTTAATTTGGTTTTTTTTCCTTCTCCCCCCACCCCCAACCTTCCCCTTTACCTCCCCCACCCCCTGTATTACCACCCCCTTTTAAATAAGAGGGTGAAGGGGAACCACGGTGCACACGGGAACTGACTCAGGAGGCAGAGAAGATGGGCATCCTCAGCGTAGACTTGCTGATCACACTGCAGATTCTGCCAGTTTTTTTCTCCAACTGCCTCTTCCTGGCGCTCTATGACTCGGTCATTCTCCTCAAGCACGTGGTGCTGCTCTTGAGCCGCTCCAAGTCCACCCGCGGGGAGTGGAGGCGCATGCTGACCTCAGAGGGAATGCGCTGCATCTGGAAGAGCTTCCTCCTCGATGCCTACAAACAGGTGAGCTCGCCCAGAGGGGCCTCTTAGATCAGCCTGGGCAGGGGCTGCGACGTTGGGGACTCAAGGCCTCTGGGAGCACTGGGGTGAGATTGTGGAGCCCTAATTGGGCACCGAATCGTTCAAGCGAGCTCCCGCCTTGGCTTCTTACACCTGTCCCACAAGTTAGGTTTAGGGGTGACAGGTAGTAAGCCATACTGACTCTGTGTGACCCAATAAGAAGTCTTCCTAATAAAGGGCATTTAATGGCTTGCTGTGATTTCGAAGTAGAGGGTGTTTGTGCTGGCCCGGTAACCTTGGGGAAAGCCTGACAATGTTAGGGGAGGGGAGACTGCTGAATTTCACTTCCTCTTGGTATAAACAGGGATTTTAATGCTTTGCTTGAAGAGATGCTATGTGAGCTGTGTTAGGAAAGACAGTTCAATGAGTGGGTATTGAAAAGCAAAGGGAAGAAAAGAAAATGCTACTCAACTCTCGAGATTACAAGACTTCCCCAAATGGTGACACCATAGGTGTGATTTGGCATAATATCTGCTTCATTTCTGGTAGAGGCGAGAGTTAATGTAAGCAAGCCTGTGTGCGGTGTCCTCCTCTCGATCGACTCTGACTGAAACCCTGTAGAAGGGGTTATGGGGCCCTGCATCCTGAGTTACTAGACAGCAATTTGTAAAAGGAAGATCTGAACACTAGCTGTCAGAAATCCAGACTTTGTAAGGGAAACCACATTTGCTCTGCTTCTCTGAAGTAAAATCAGTTATCTTAGAAAGAGCATTTCAAAGTTGTTAAATTTTGAAGTCGTTAAATTTCAAAGTTGTTATAATGCCCACCTTGCACATGGAGCAGGGGCCTCCCTCACCTGCAGAACTTCTGTCCCAGGGGCTGTTCTCTCAAAACCAGGGTTGGGGTCTTGGTTTCTAAGCAAAGAATGCTGGCATTTTAGCCTTTTCGCTGCTTGGAGCATGCTCAGCTCAGATCTTAAGGAGCAAAATGTAACATTTTGTCATTGGTCCTTAGACCATTTGCCCCTATGCCCCTACAGCTCCTGAAGTTCCCTGGGAAAGAAGAATTGACTCCTTTGGCAAAAGTTGCTATCAAAGCAGACAATCCTGGTTTTCCCTATCAGTGTTGGGGGACCTTGTCTAAGACGCTAGGGAAGGGAGTTTGAGAGGAATATAAAAGCCAATGAAGTGGTACCCCACAGGCGGGCAGCACCTCATAAACAGACAAAACTCAGAATAAAAGAGGGAGAAGGGAGTGAGTTCTCCATAACTAACCACTAGAAAACAAAATCTATGCACGAGAAAGGGAAAATAAATCACTTCTAGTCACAAAGAATCCAAAGTAGTTTTGTTCCATTGAAAATCCAACAAGTGTTCAGGAAGAAAATATCCATTGTGAATTAAGGAAATGTTACTATAATGCATGTGTTTGTTATTGAGAGTAACCTGCAGAAGGTTTGCATTTTTTTTCCTAATGACTAGAGAATAGTTAGAGCTCTTGCCAGTAAGTGAAAATTCTTTTATAATAATGTAAAAAGATGCTTAAAGTTCTAATAGTAAAACTCATTTATATTAGTTATGTAGGGCCAATGGGAGATGTGGTAAGAAGATGTTGAGGTGATCATTTCATTTCCACAAGTCTATACACTGAATGTGACATTTTAATGTTTTTGTTGTATTTGTAGGTGTTAGGAGATGACATGGCAATGTCAGTGGCTTGGTATCAGCATATTAAGTTATTACTTTTTTGAAAGAGAATTGACTTTTGCATATAAAAGAAAAGTCACTGCCCGGGAGAAATTTACTTATATGCATGTATGCTTCCATAAATAGTTCTCACATAAAATACAGGGGTTACTCACATATTTTAAGTGAGGTTGTCACTCCTATTAAACAGCTTGTTGATGTTAAAAGGGAAAAACAATGTCTCTTTAATAGAATTTATTATTTATTTTTTTCACTAATGTATAATGTTCCATTGTGTTGCAATATTTGTTCTTATTCCAAGAAATTAAGAAGAATGAATGATTTGTTTTCTTTGTCTTATATGGTTTGTGTATTCCTCCCCTGTATTGTTTCTGTCTACTGATTTGATTAGTGACCAAGTTCATGACTGGTGTTCTTAAGTTTGCTTTTAATGATTTCTGTAATAGCTACCACCATGAGAAGAAGCCACCCAAGAACACACATGTCCAGAGACAAGACTGGATTGGGTGCATAATGAAAGGAAACATGGCAAACACAACTTGCATTGAATTTAGCTCTCCTTCTGTCTCCAAGTATAGCAAGGGTGGTGGTGGCTGTGGTGGCCTGTGAGGGTCACTGAGAATCTTGGAAACAGGTTGACTCTCTTTTCCAATTGCTGTTGTCATCTGTGCCACAGTCACTGGGTGTAGCCATTTCTAGGGACACACTGGAGGAGGTTCTATCTGGGGTGGCATTGCAGTATTTCACAACCCTGACTTGTACTATTGTGAGGCTGCCACCCCAGAAGCAGGGTGTTCCAGCATGAGTGTGTGTACATGTGATATGATTAGGCATGCCATTTCTAATTATCCTTGTTGTTGAATGTCAGACAATCGGGAAGAACTTAAGAGAAAGTGCAGTAAAAGTGTTATCCCTAGGATGGGCTGCTACAAGAGGCAACAAAGAAATTAGAAGAGAACAAATAAAACAAACACACAAAACAATCCTTCGTTAACATGCTGAACGGGATTTAAAACTAACTTTGTAAGGAAGCTTTTAAAGATAATTTGGGTTTGGTTCAAGGGAGTTCTAAGTGCTGTTTTGATGAAAAAGTAAGTCTGCAGAAACTTGTGAGAGATTGAGGCGAGTCATAGATATTTGTTACTTAAGTGTCCCTAGTCAGTGTCATTGCATCAAGCACTGCATCCTTCTGCTGGTGCTGAAAGACTGAAAATGCAACCAATGAGCAAACTACCCTATCTGGGAGCCTACCTCCTACGTAAATGAAGTGTGAGAGTAAACACACAACATAGATGCTGACGAGCAGTTTAGCCTCTTCACGGTTAAGATGGCAGCATCATAGAAAACATATTCATTTGAACATATAATTTTGGTTTTGAAAGGGTCTTTTTAACATTCTCCTCCTCCTCTTCATTCACCTCAAGCCTTTTGACACTAGTTTCTACAATGGAAAATGGCTTTTTAAAAAGAGAAACATTCTCAAAAGAACATGAAGAAGGCCACAGCCAGAGCATGTCCATCACTTAGATAAAACAGTGGGAAATGAGAGAGCTCGTAGCTACATTTTCAAGGTAGGGATCAAAAGGAGAATGGTCAAAGGGAATTGAATTCAGAGGAAAGAGAAGGTAGTTTATTCTTCAACTCTGATTTATTTGGCCAATTTGAATATAAATGGTTAAACCACTGCTTAATAATTGTTTGGCTACATTTGTAAGGACATTGATGTAGCCTGGTCATTATGTCAAAGAATCTGAAATTTCCTGATAGTGAATAAATCCATTACAGGGCTTTGAATAGCAAGAAGGATGTGGAAAAACTATTCTTCCATGTAGGTGCCCCTCCCATGCCCCATTTTTATCATTTGCCTTACTTTCTATCATGAGATTAGGTGATATTTTGTCCAGAAGCCTTTCTCAGGCTGCAAAAAAGGAAAAAGAAAAAGAAAAAAAGATTAGTAGTATATGCTGTATTTCCAGCTTCTACTTGATGAATGGTCCTTTCTTTGTTCCTCTCACCCTGCATTTCACAGCCCACATGCTAAAGCAGCATTACTCTTTTCCCCATGCACTGAACACTGTCAGTAAAAGGAATCCCATCATCACGGGACTCAAATTTATAAATATACCATGTATTTGCACTCATGTTCATATTTATAAACACGGCTGTCACAACATTTGAGCTTGGCCCAGAGATGTTCCCTGTTGTGAAAATGCAAACCCTTTTTTTACCTCCCGTGTTGGTGTTGTGTTGATTTTGATTACAAAAGCATAAGAAAGGACAATTGTAATAGTGTAGATGAGAAAGACAAAAGTCAGTGATGACGATATTGCATATTACGTATGTCTTTTCTGATCATTGCAAAATAAAGGGACCCTTTGGGAACATCGGAACTTCAAGACCAATTAGTGGAAATGATGCTTCTTGTGTTTGGGCATTAAATATTGGGCAGCATTCTCTTTAGAGAGGCTAATGCTGGCAGGGAAAGAGGTACCGACCTAATTACTCTTCCGCAAGAGTAAAAAATGCCTTTTGAATGCCTCTTTGGCAAATATGTCTCATTAAGGACAAAAACCAAACACAAACCCTCTAAGAAGGAGAAATTAAGATGATACGTAACTTGTGGCCAGGAGACTTTCTGTGCCACTGTGGGAAATTAAAACAAAGTTTGAGAGTATCAGGGGATAACTTGTTTTTGTTAAGTTTCTTTCCTGCAGCTTAAATGTTATTATTATGGGACCAACTTTATTTGCTTCATCATTTTGGCTCTTTGTCAAGGAATGCTTTGCTCCTGGGGAAAGCAAAGAATCTTCCATCATTGAACAATGGTGATTCTCCCATTCCATCTCAGCAGGGTACATAACCAAGCAAACCAAGAAATTCTTCATTTGCAGCTCTGGTCAAATAGGAATTTAATTTTCTTGGTGATCAAATGGGAAAATGAGAAATGAGCACACATGTCCTTTGAAAAGATTTTCTTTGTAGTTTAAAGCAAACTTTAATTTTTTTTAAATTTCTAAAATTTTTTTATTATTGTTAAATTATACTCCATCAGCAGGTTTTTAGAAAGATGTACTAATTTTATGATGAGTATATGATGCTTATAAAAGGAGACTACTGGTTTACTCACATTGGGCCTCACAAAACACGAGTGTGTGTTTTTTTTCCACCATAGTATAATTAATAACATTGACCTTACCCATGCATTTCTCTTATTTGGTCATAGTCATGAACAGGGTATCTGTTTATGACATTCTAATCTGCCATAGGGTTCCATAGATGCTCAACTAAATAAAGAGG